CGATCAATGATTCTCTCTCATTATTGATGTTTCTATCTCTCTCCCTCTCCCTTCCTCTCTGAAATAAATAAAAATAAAAATATTTTTTTAAAAAAAGATGTACCCTTTGATTCCAGAAGTAGCCTATTGTGAAGCTGGGTTTAAAATAATATTTACTGCCCTAACCGGTTTGGCTCAGTGGATAGAGCGTCGGCCTGCAGACTCAAGGGTCCCAGGTTCAATTCTGGTCAAGGGCATATACCTTGGTTGTGGGCACATCCCCAGTAGGAGGTGTGCAGGAGGCAGCTGATCGATGTTTCTCTCTCATCGATGTTTTTAACTCTCTATCCCTCTCCCTTCCTCTCTGTAAAAAATCAATAAAATATATTTAGAAAAAATAAAATGAAATAAAAAAATATTTACTAGCTTTTTCCCCCTAAAAAAGATTCTTAGAGAAAATCTGAGAAACAGAAAAAATGTCAAGAAAAACATTTAAAAATTACCCCATGGCCACAAAGACTTGCTCACCTCCGAGGATAGCGAACAGGTGCCTGGTCACGGCTTCCATCGCAGAGGAGTCACTGCACTGGCGGGCCAGGTTCCGCAGCGCCAGCACCGCCTCGTCCATCAGGCGGGGACTGTTGGACCTCAGCTGACCTGGACACACAGACAGCCGCTGCTCAGAAGCTGCTGAGGATCCAGGCTTTTATCTTTGTCTTCCCCATGTTCCCGACTCTTCACTCCTAGCTCCAGCTCTCACAAAGGATCTCAGGGAAGAAACTATGCAAGTGCAGTTTAGGATAAAGCCTCATTTCTAACCTGAGCTGTCCCCTTACCTGTTTCTATCATAACTGGGACAAGTACAACCAAAACCCCAGGTGCCCTTCTAGGGGCTGGGGAGGGGTCGGGATACTCACCAGCCAGTCCTTTCACGATGTCCAGGGCATACTGGCTGAGGTCAAGAGTCACTGATGCCAGCAGACTGGAGATAGCTTAGGGGGACAGGAAGTACTGACCATGTCAGTCACAGATATAACACCCATTTTTGGCCTGCTCCCCACAAATACCACCGGGCCTGCTGTCTAGACACACAGAACTATGACTACTCTTCATCTCTTTATGGCCACCTGAGTGGTCACACCTTTGCCCCAAAGCTCTGCTGCAAAGCTGTACACTGCCCCATCCCAATCAGCAAAAAAGTGTCCCTCTAGCATTCTACCTACACCTTTTAGCAAGATAAATAAAGACAGAGACTCAACCCTCATCTCCTGTGGTTTCAAGTGCCACCTCCACACCAAGTTCAAACTACCTAGAGCAGAGGTTCTTAACTTGAATGGTCTCCAGAAGGTTCTTGGACTTCTAAAACTGTATGCAGTATTCGAAGCCGATACACTTTTGTGCTTTCTTCTAGAAGAGGACCGTGACTTTGAACATATTCTGAAAGGGTCCCTGATCTCTCTCCCAAAGTCCCAATGAGGAAAACAGTGACCACATCCCTCACCCCACTCCCAACGCTTCCTGCTGCCAAGTGTCAGGGGAGCTGCTTATCAGGCACTGTCTCCCTCCCACTGCCCCGTCTGGCAACAACCTACTTTCAATAACATTCTCTGGACTCCTCAGTAGTGACTTCTGGATGGTGGGCAGTATCAGATCCTTAAATTCCGAGTGGGACATGTATCGGAGCAGAGGGGCACAGTTATCCTAGAAGGAGAAGGAGTCAGGCGCAGCCCTCACGTGAACAGACCAAGAATCCAGGACAGCTCTGAACCACAGAACTGAAAGTGGGTTGAGCTTGTCCAGGTGAGTAAGCCCCACCTCTCACTCACCAATAGGTACTTCTGAGGCTTCACTTTGCTCATCAGGATGTTCTTCACATAAAAATCCAGCAGGGCACTCTAGAGAATACAAAGACCTGGTGAGACCCTGACATTCTGAGTATCTCATCCCTGGCCTGTGAGATCCCTCTAGTGGGAGTGTCTCCAAAAATAATACAAATCGGTGCCCCAGATTTCAGTGTCAAGCAAAGAGGTACCTCAAGTCCCAAGTCCTTGGCATGGCTCATAAGGCCTGCCTGCTACCCGGCCGACCGGCTATATCTCACAACTCCCTACCCCACTGGCCTCCTCCCACAGACTGCTTTCTCTGCCCAAGATGCTCTTTCTCACCTCTCGACCTTGCTAAGGCTTATTCACTGCTTAGGTTCCTTCACTAGAGATGTGTTCCCTGACCCATAACCTAAGTAAGGTCCCCAGTTACAGAGTATCATGGCTTCCTGCATTTTCCCTCTGTAGTGTTTATCACAGATATAACCAGGGCAGGGATTGCAGCTCCGTGCTCACCACTGCATCCCCAACACCTGGCACAGTGTTTGGCACATGGCAGCTGCTCAGCTGTGGGAGAATGAATGACTGCATGAACCGGCTATCATCTCAAAACTATGCCAGGATTCTCCCCAAACCAGACATGGAGCAAAAACTTCCCAACTTCTCAAAGTTCACATATCATGGCGAGTGGCCAGGGTCCTGAGTGAGAAAGCCAACAAGCTCCAGACAAGGCGAGCAGCTGGGGCCAACAGCACCAATCCAGTTCCCACTCCTCCCTTCCAGTGAGTCCACTTGCCTTGTGCTGGTTGACCACGTCCATCTCCTTGTGACTCGTGCAGAACTGCACCAGCAGCCCCAGCATGCCTGCATAGCTCTGGTTAGGTTCTAGGCTGAGAATGGCTGATAAGTACTGTTCCACCAGGCTGGGGTTCTGAGGAGGAAAGGTGTAAAGCAGGTAATGATGATGATGAGGGCCTGGGGGTGGCACAGAAGAAGCAATGCCCACCACCCCCTGCTGCCTCCTGTCACCTCCTTCCACAGCTTGGTGAGCATTTTCACGGCACCATCCACGGCGTGCTTGTGGGAGCCACCCAGCACCTCCAGCAGGAGCAGGCACTGCACCTCCACCTGCCAGGACAGGAGGGGCTCAGGTCAGGATGTGAAACGGGATGGAGATCTCATGGCCTCCCAGCTTGGCCAAGACCTTCGTCAGGCCTGCCAAATCCTGGCTCCTCTCCACTAGGCCTCTTCCACTGGCCTCCAGCCCTCCACCCCTCTGGAATTACATCTGTTCACTCAAGCACTTCCTTGATAAATATTTGTCGAGCACCCACTATGAGTCAAACAATGAAAATACATGGAGACCAAGACAGGCATGGTCCCTTGCTTTCATGTACCTTATAGTCAAGAGGAAGAAAAGAGTATTAAACAAATAAATACACAAATGAATACATAATTCCAGAGAAGTTAAGTGCCATGGAGGAAAAGAACAAGCATCCTCTTTTATATATTTATCTGCCTCAACTTTTACTTTATTTATTCCACAAATACTTACTGAACATTGACTAAATGGCAGGCACTATGCTAGGCACTGTGGATACAGAAGAGGAAGACCCACCAGTAAGATGATCCAGCCAGTGTGGAGCTCACTGGACAATCCAGAATGAAGCACAGAATACGTACTCAACTAAAAACACCTCAAAGAGACTTCATGTGC